TTTAATTTAAACGTGTTTAAATATTTTAAATTGTTTAGATGATTATAATTATTATTCTAATCTAAATTATGTATTATTTATACATAATTTAGTTTAGATGAAACTATCAATATACCAAACTTTCTATATCTTTACTAAATTTTCTTGTTCAATTATAATATAAAATATTATACTTAATTTTACCAATTATATTAATTCTACCTTTTTTATTGAATTTACAAAACTGATGATATAAAGAAGCTGATTTACTATACTTCGTTAATCTAGTTGATTATTACTCGTAGAACAAATAACGCCTTCTAGATTTATAACATCATGCCTATATTAAGAAATACTTGAAATATTTTATTTCCTATTTATATATATAATCAGTTTATTATATCAAAATAAAATTTACCTATAAAAAAAAATTTTGCTATTTGCTATTATAATTGTCACAATGTCATAGTATAGTGTTTCTTTGCCAGCCGTCAGCTAAAAATGGCGGAAAGGCGCGACAGAGACGAAACGAATGTGCGGCCAGAAGTCTTCCGTATTAATTGAAATACGATTAATGGAGATAGATATTTATAACCATTATATATCCATTATAATATTATAATTTTTAATAAATTATAATATTAATAATGTTTGATAAATGTTTTGTAAACCGTAATGTTTTTTTACATTACATTATTGTAAATTCAAATTGGAATAAAAGACAGGTATTAACCGCACGTTCATATTCTCTCTTTCTAGAGAGTGGTCAATTTCATGAGATTATTACTCAGTCTATTTTTTAGGTCGATGTTTTTAGCAAAGACATAGACATACTGAAAATATTTATGTCATCCCTCAGAGTATTTAAACGAAAGACTCGATTTGTATCTAAGTATTTGCTAAGAATAAAAATTGGTTTTTGTATATAGCGAAGGTTTTACGGCTGTACGATCATTTTGTTGACGTGGTATTGAACATTGCAAGCGGCACATTAATTTAAACCAAATTTTATTAATTTTAAAGACTTAAAGTATACGTTTTTTTCTCACCTTTCTTTTAAACGTACATAGATATTATTTTATAGTGTTAGACACGAGATGTATGTGAACGAATTAATTTATAATTGTGTTTCGAATATGTTAAGTGGTAAAGAAAATGTTTGTTTATATATTTCTCACTCTAGACTCAATACTGGACGCAATTTTCTACTGCAGATTATGATGTTGATGATGCTGATGAAATTAAAATTAATAAACTGGGTCGTCAAAGTGTTTCATCCTGTGCTCTACAAAACCTGAGAGCAAAATAAAGTTTAACAACAACCTCCTAACTAAAAAGTCGCCTGTTATAGCTTAATTTTATATATTTAAAAAATATATATAAACTAAATTTAATTAATTAGTTAATTTTTTCCTGTTTGAAAATTTCAATTTTCATTTTGAAATTGAAATTCGCGTATTATAAGTACTGAGATTGGCTTATTACAATTACCCAAGAAATAATATTACTTGACACATGTTTCTCATCAATAAATTTAGATTATTTAATAATAAAATTCTTACAAATATCTAAAAACGTAATCTGCAAATATAGAAGAGCGACTTTCACCAAAGTAGAGTACTTAGATGTGTAATAAACGTCACTCATACTGCGTTTACAATGCAATTAGAAAGTAAATTGTACAAGTTTCAACGCAGCTCGTATACTATCAGAAGAAAGCGTATCTATAGTGTCGGAAAGTTAGTATGAGGTAGTCGAGGTAGGGGTATGCGCACACGCAGTACCAAATGTGGTACACTTTCGATCTCAACTCGCGTCGGTGAGAGTTGCACGAAAATGAAAGTGGTGCGTCATTATGGTCCACTTTCCAAGTTGAGGTCAAAAACCTCTCAAGACTCTGGTATGTTCTAAGCAAGTTAATGAAGAGTCAACGTATCACCTCGCCTCGTATATAACTCACTTACACTAATGTGGTAATCGGGCAAAAGTTGCGTATTGTATTATAATATTTATGTCTGAATAGTTTCTTGTTAAGAATGTGCTTATAATAATAAACAATAAAGATAAACGAAACTTTAAGTTGTTTTTAGAAAAGTCTCATGATATAACGCTGGTTCACAACGGTTTTGTTTAAATAATTGTTTTGTAAAATAGATGTTTGTATTTTTATATTTACATATATAAATATATATCATATTATTACTTTAATTTATTATAATAGCAAAAATGTATAAAATTAATAATTTAAACTAAGTATTTGAAATCTGCTACCTCCGAAAACAGGTATCGAAAAGAAAATAGTATAAAAAGTTTGTGTGCATATCAAAGTTCACAAAGTAGGTGAAGCCCAGTAATATGGGACGAGGGGTGACGGGTGAACGACCTCTTGTGACGTCAGCGCGACCTGATGCTGCCCGGAGCGAGCTTAACCCGAACTATGACCTGATCAATGGTACTTACATATTATATAACACCAACAAAAACCTTATTATAATTATTGTCATTAGCCATAATTAACATAATCATACCCTTTGGCTGAATACGACGTAAGTGGAGTAAAAATATTTACTGAACTTTGCTAACCATTAAAAATCTTATTCAGTTCTTAAACAGTAAAATTATTAAGTACGTTAAATATTTATATCACAGTAACAAACGAACGCAAATATTTTTATATAATGATACTGTGAAAAATATTTTGATTTGCGTTCCTCGAGGCATATTATTGATTTACCTACTTTATACCAATTATTTATTTTCTCCTTATTTATAAACTTTACAATTTATTACTTACTAGCATTGCCCGCGGCTCTGCCCGCGTTCAGATGACCAAAAACAATACTTAGGTTTTACAGTTATTATACTCTTACATTGCAGTTTTTGTATTTTTTCTCAGAAATGAGATATTTTCGAGGGGTAAAAAGTATTCTATATGTTGACCCGGATAACCAGCTATCACCATACCAAATTTCATCAAAATGTGTCCAGTGGTTTTCTCGTGATGCGGTAACAGACAGACAGACAAAAATTCTAAAAACTATAGATTCGGCCTCTGTATCGATAATATGTCTATTTCAATAAGATTTTCCAAAAAAATATTTAATGTACAGATTCGGCTTAGTTACAATTTTATTAGTATTTATCCCTCTGATTCCTTATATCCGATGGTTATACAAATATTGGTTTAAGCTATATTATTAGCGAAATAAACTTATTCATTTAATGTTTAATTTAAAATATTTAAATTTATCCATTCTTTCATGTTTTCAACCGACTTCAAAAAGGAGGAGGTTCTCAATTCGACTGTATTTTTTTTATGTTTGTTACCTCAGAACTCCGTCATTTATTAACCGATTTGGACAATTTTTGTGTTGTTTGAAAGTGTATACTTCCAGATTGGTCCCATTTAAATTTCAAAAAAAAATACCACCCCTAAGGGTGGAAAAACAACTAATGATGAATTTAACCTACTTCTAGTTGTCATATTGACTTGAAACTTTGCAAGTATTTCTATTTCCGTTGATAGTACAGTGGTTCGGTGTTGTTGACCTGATCTGATGGCAAGGCCAGAAGGTGGATAGGTGGAACTCTTCAACGGCTAATAGTAGATACTTTGAGTTTGGGCTTATTTTGTTTGATTTGACAAGCCTAACACGTTAGAATCCTTACTTTGCTACTACTGTGTACACTAAAAAGGGAAAAATAAAAACTTTTTAACAAAAAAATAAAAACCGACCGAAAAAGTAAAAAATAACTGATTGGTAGTTTTCATTTACTATACATACCTAATCAAATATTTCCGAAGTCGGTGTGCTTTGGCTAAGTAATTAAAGCCTACCTATTAAATACATACGTAATCAAATATTTTCGAAATCGGTGCCAGCCCATACAAAGCAAAGCACACCGACTTCGAAAATATTTGATTAGGTACGTATAGTAAATGAAAACTACCAATCAGTTATTTTTTACTTTTTAGTGCTTTTGTTTGAAGTCGGTTTTTATTTTTTTGTTATATTCTATTTAAATTTATCCATTTAATGAAGTATCATAAATTGAGAGATAGTTAGTTAGACTTTCAGAAATCGCATGAACAGGTAAATAGTAAATACCGAACAATGATCAAATAAATTTGAAACTGAATCATATATGTATGTATAACATGACTTTAGATTTATTTGGTTACGCTTTTCATAGAATTATCGATGGTCATAAAAATGTCATGTTTACGGAGCTCGCGGGCACTTAGCGGTATATTAGTCGCCTTGGCCTATAAACTCGTCTCCGCTCACCAACGTTTCGCCAATTCTAGATTTAGGTTTTCAGTTCAGTGGGTTGAGCTGGACGTTTCCAATTCGATAACTTATGAGTTCAAGTAACACATTATTTTGCCCATTCGAATGTTTATACAATATGGTAGATTAAATAAAGGCGCGGCACGCTCATTTTCATTTCGCCCGAATTGCTTAGGTCGCATCGTCCTTGTCATAAGATTGTAATATATCTATCTCTCTACTAGCTCTGTAACCGAAAAGAGTATAAATATATATAAATATATAATAGGTATTTTATATTTATTATTATTTTGCTAACCAATCATATTTTACTTTTGTATACGTTGTATTTTCAAACACTTCTGTTACATAATTTTAAAAACAAATAATATTGTAGAGCATCTACAAACCCTTTTGTTTTTAAAACCTTTATTAATTTTCGAAGGTCAGTGATAACGAAGCTATTCATATAATTTTTGCCATTGTATATAGGGATATATATAGGAATTGCCTTCTACTATAAAATCATTCACGTAATATTAAAATATTTTTGACGAATCATGATATATGTCGGATCGTGATAAGACAGGTTGAATAAAACAAGGGGCTACGTAGGGGCGGGCGGCGCGTAGAGCATCTACGCGCGCCCCTGCGGCGTGCGGCGGCGTAGCGCGGACGCGCCATTCGCGTTGATACCGTCGCCGATCGCACGCGCCCCTCTCGCGTCGGCTCATGCGTCTCCCGCCAGACATGACTGTAACCGAGTGCCGCCGTCACCTGGACCCTGCCGGTGACCCATCCCACCAAACCAACACCGATACCGATGTACTCCTCGACAGAGTTCTCGCAGGTGAGCCTCGATCAGCTGATCCGTCATGCCATTGTTTACCGCCGAAACCTATGTTTACTTTGTGTATTTTTGTTTAGACTTAAGACATTGTCATTGTATTGTTTTTATGACGCGATACAGTTTATTGTTTTCACTTTCAAGTGCCTTCGTCAGCATAATTTAGCACTTTTTAGCAGACGAATACTATTACTAAGGCTTAAAATTTAATTCATTCAATTAACATTTCGGGTTCTATCGTTTTTATAATAATTATAGTACTTTATAATAAAATTAAAGTGATAATGTCCTTTTCACTTTCCTGTGAGTCGAGACGTAGAGAGGGCGCGCGGGACGGGCGCGCGCTGCAGGCCGCGTATCTAGGTCAAGCGGAGTTCATTGCCCCGGCCTTCCCGGCTATATTCGACTTCGCTCGCTAATCGCCACCGCCTGTATCTTATGGCTTGGTTACCTTTGTGCTGATATGTACTAATTTAAAATTTTAGATTTTTATTTATTTACATAATCAATCTTTAAATGATTTTTTGCTTTTGCTTATATACGTTTTCGGTATTTTAACGCACTTAAATTACATTTATGTACTATCAAAATTAATAATACATATATCAACATAGATGTTTAAACAAATTAAATTGAAAAGTTTTGATTTTTGGATTTATCAAAGCAATACTACCAAGTACCAATACCAAAAATTAAAAATAAGATTATTACAATAAACTATGGGACTAAAATTTATTTAAATTTTCATTTGATTCTGCCAGTTGAATTTATATTATATAAATTTTTTTAATTCATTTTATAGTAAACTATTGCATTACATATTTACAAAAAGATTGAACACTCTACATCATCATGGTCGAGTTGGATTTCGCAAGTATAGCCCATCGCTGAATGCCATTTTATTTTGGAGGCCGCGCACACTAGGAGGGCCCGCGGTCAACGGCCCCGCGCGCTATCTAGGTCGCCTCGGAATAACCTAGCGCCGATACTCTAATAATAATCTAAACCAAACCTTGGGATCTCCTGTTGTCCTACTCTAACGCGTTAAGCGCCTCTTACTAAAATAGCGACAACGCAGATTTTGTAATACTCGTCTTATAGACGGTTACTAACTAGGTTTCACTATCTCTTTCTCTCTTGAAAGCGAAGTTTGCTTGAGTAACTAGTTGAATGAGATACATATTTAAAACTTCGTCTTATTTATCTAAAATAACATAATTTCGTACAATATGTGACTGCATGTTATTAATATAGTTAATTTACATTTTTTTATAGACTACCTAATAAATTAAAATTTGATTATATCGATTAATATATAAAATTTTGTTACGTCATATTATAATTTTGACTAACAATTAGTAAATTTGATAAATACTTTCATTATTAAAGCATTTATAAGATTACTAGAGATATTTGGGAAATATATTTTAACAATATAAAATTTGGAACCAAAAATGCGTGCGTGACGTATAGGCGGACGCGAGAGCGGCAAAGCGAGCGGCGCAGGCTTGCGCGGGACGAGGCGCGGCGCGAGCGGCGTGTGGACTTATTGCGATCAAGGCCTCGCGTTCGTTCACCCGCCGCAATTGGGTCACGCTCGTCGCGTCGCCCTGCCCCGCGCACCCAACACACAAATAACTGTTCAAAACTCACACTAATGCCCGATTTCACCAACGTCACCTAAGTTTAAGGGATCCCCTAAGCATGGTTAGGGGCTGTTAGGGGAGAGTTTCTGTTTCACCGACAGTTAGGGGTCACCTAAATATTAAAAGGCCCCCTAAATTTAGGTGCTCGAAATATGGGCTTAAAGACGATCGTAAAACGAAATTTAATTTAGGGGCTAGTTTAAGGGAATTTTAAGCTAGGGATCCCATACGTAGGTGGTAGCTTATGTGTTGTTGGTGAAATCGAGCATAAATCTGTTAATGTAATGTCACAATAAGCTAACAATTTGTATAATTACTTTAATCGTACTATGGTTGGACAACGGATGACCCCGAAGTCGGAAAATTTAGTACAATCGTATTTTCATTCGATTCATAAATTACGTTCGTTAAGCGGTTCACTGAAATCAAGAAATAACATAGGTCTTAAATAATGAAATTGTTGAATCATATATTCAACAATAGGCACAATGAAAGGTTTTGTTTGGTAGGCCTATGTAATAAAAATATGTAAATATTAAAAATATGCAAAGTCAATAAAAAAAAAACAATTACTGAGTAAAGTATTACGATATTGGCATAACTTCAATCTAAATTTTTATGAGTACAATAAAGCGGTCATTGTTTTCAGCGAAAGTTGTCGAGGAAAAGTTGCAATTGGTAGTTTACTGGCGGCAAAAAACATTATTTAACAATTCAACACGTAAAACACTGTTCTGAGCATCCTTTCTATTGTTTCGTATATAAGGAAAAAAGTTGTCCAAAACATAATTAAATGTAGTAAATACATATTTATATTATTACATATAATATCTTGATAGGCATTTAAAATTTTCATTATGAAAGCTGCACTCCAAGTACCAACCATATGAGATGAGATTGTAATGGACTCGGTTGTTAGGCAATTGTGGCTTTAATTAATTTAACCCGGTCAAGCGCTTGATCCGCGTATTTCTCATTTATTTTTCTATACGAATTCATATCAATACCTAATCAGAACTATATGTTAAACATATAAAACTATATGTTAAAAATATAAAAGATATTATATTTTTCATATAAAAGATTTTAAGATCTAATAATACTAAATTAATATATTTTTAGATTGATATATAGTTACATAAAAAATATAAAACGAATATTAATTTAACATATTAATAATATAAGCATAAGCTACTCTCGGATGTACTCACATAATAACAAAACAAGGGTTGAATAAGTAAATGCGCGAGAAAGGAAGGGGAGGCGGGAGAAGGGGACGAGGCTACAGTGCAGGTCGACGCCCGCGCCGCCCTGACCCCAATTCAATGCTCGCTCGCGTCACCGCGGACCTCTCGTCCAGGCACACTGAGCGGAAAAAACCCATTGATTGTTACAACATCGCCACTTTATGAAAATAATGCAAATGGCTTTTAAATGTTTCATATTTTTAGCTAACAATACCACCTTTTTCAATTTTTATTTACTATAAAAACTTTTAACTTTTTTAATTTCGACACGACGCGATGATTGATTTTTCACGTCTCAAAATAACATATGTCGACTTTTTAAGTTATTAAGCGATAAAAAAAATAACTTGCAATGCAATAATTCTTCATCTAAAAGAAGTTCATTTTGTAACGCATGCATTTTACTTATGTGATAATGATTAATTATATGTATGGTGTAGGTAAAGACCACAAAACTGTACTAAGTGTGTCAGTGACTTTACAGTGGTCGGATTTTTTACTCCTCATGTTGTTTTCCTCTTAACCTGCTGACCTGACCACGTTCTAAACAAAATTACTGGCATGGATTTTGAGAGCGGCAAACACGAAATCGACTCCATTACCTCATTTTTAGACAGTCCATTTCGAACTGTGTAAATATTACGAGAAACATTAAAAACTCTGTTTCTTCGTATATACCATTACAGCCGACCTTAGATGTTAACAGTTGCTTTTAGTATTTCTTTCCTTATATTTTATGACTTAAGTACATACATTCTATATTTACATATAAACAACGAGGCCCACTCATTATTTAATATACTCTAAGTGTTAGTATCCTATAAAATTTAGGACGAATGATTACATACGTAGTTGTGTGTATGACTCCGCAGATGTTACGTTTACATTAAAGTTGATGATTAAGTTCGTTTGAGTCAGCGTTGACCTAGATATGGCAGGCAGTGTTGACGGTAAGCGGGAATCTACTTGCTCCAAATACGAGAGTAGGTTAGCGAGGGGTCATTGACCTCCTTGAAAATCCTTCGTCAGCTATTCCCAGGTACCAGTCGATATAAAATATTCGTTAATTCTTTTTAGTGTAATCGAGTTTGGTACTTCTTTTTTAATAAAGTTTAATAATGTTTATTATGAGAAAAGTTAAATTGAAAATAAAAAAAAAACAGATAGGTATGTGTATTTAATTTAGCATGAGATAAAAAATTAAAAGTATACATAATTTAAACCTGTAATCTTCTTTAATATAACCACATTTTCTGCGTATCTACAATATAAATAAAAAATATGTATTCTTCAAATATATTTTTATTAAATTTAAAAAACGTAATCATAACATCGATGATTTTATTTAACGTCGTAAAAAAACAACAATATATAAACTATATAAACGACAATAATAATTATACCAAAGAAATAGCAATCAGTAAACCTTTACAAAAATATATCAAGAAATAATGTCTTTTCATCAGTCAACGCCATCTAGCGCCGAGTAGCTCGCTATTATAAAATACTGCAGATGGCACTACATTCGTGTATTAAATATTTAAAGATTATATAATATTACGACCCACAAACAGTATCATTGAAATGATATTTAAATATATTTTTATTGACTCTATGGTCGTATACATACATTATAAAAATTACTTAGCGATAAATTTAAAGTACATTTATTTTGTTTCTTATTTTTAAAGTTTTTTTTTTCGTTAAGTAATTTCTAATAGTATTTATTTTATTATCTACCTACCTACCTGTCAAAATGGGTATATGATGTGATTTTATCACCTCATATTTATTCTATTTAGTTTAAATCTAAAAATAACGGGGTAGGTGAGCTCAGGCAACTGTGGGTTTGTGGGGTGGAGATAGCAGGCGAGGCGGTGCGACCGTGAACTCAGCCGACCCTTGTTGGCGTACTACGTCCCACACATAGTCTGTCATCTGGTTTCCCTAATGTTAGACTCACTGCTATCAATTCGCATATGATTCAAGTTTATCTTTACTAAATTATATGCATTTATAAACTTATTAATTTTCTATGATTTAGATTATTAAATATATTTTTTTGACACGATCTCTATATTACAGAAACAGAATTTCATCATTATTCTTTACAATTATATTTTTATAAATCTGCCATAAGTGATGTAAGGGCTTTAATAAGAGAAATAGCTAATTATAAATTAAGGCAGTCGAGAGGGTGGTAGGGGGTAAATTAACGTCACGGCGCATGCGCGGCGGTCGCCCACGCGCTCGCACCGCGTCCTGCCACCGCTTTCGCGCCAAACTGTTCTCGGTTGTTCGCCGCGTGCCAGTCCTAAACCTATCCCGCAAATTCGTCAACATCAACACTATGGAAGTCAGACACGCAGATAATAATATATTGCCGCCAGATCAAGTAGCCGGTAAGAATTGTTTTAAATCTATAGGCAACTTGAATAAATTCTCGTAGTTCGGTCGTTCAACTTTAACCTTAATACTCTATTGAATCATAACGCGTGCTACGTTTTAGTAGGAATTATTGGGTGGAAAAGATAGTTTATTAAACCAAATATTACAAGGCCTTGATCAATAATTATTAGTTTTTGATATTTACTTGTACTTTAAAATAATACTCTATTTAATTAAACTAATGTAGAGCAGAGTTGCTATTTAAATTTTATTTGCCGCCAAGCGTAGTTTTACTATTTCGTTTTCGTTCTTTAATAAAGAACGAAATATTTTTTCTATAAATATGTAAGTAATTATTACCTTTGCTTTAAGTAAATATGATACCTACATATAAAATAATAGCATTACCCGCGGCTCCGCCCGCGTTCAGATTACCAAAAACCAAATTCTTAGGTTTTACATATTAGTATACTCTTACAATGCAGTTTTTGTATTTTTCTCAGAAATGAAATATTTTTCCGCGGTAAATAGTATCCTATATGTTGACCCGGATAACCAGCTATCATCATACCAAATTTCAGTAAAATGTGTCTACTAGTTTTCTCGTGATACGGAGACAGACAGACAGACAAAAATTCTAAAAACTATAGATTCGGCCTCTGTTTCGATAATAATGTCTATTTCAATTAGATTTTCAAAAAATATCTAATGTACAGACTCGACTTAGTTACAATTTTATTATATAGATTATTTCATGTTACTGTACCATCACTAGCCACTTTTATTTAAATAAAAACTTTTTAACAAATAAATAAAACCGACTTCAAACAAAAGCACTAAAAAGTAAAAAATAACTGATTGGTAGTTTTCATTTACTATACATACCTAACCAAATATTTTCGAAGTCGGTGTGCTTTGCTTTGTATGGGCTGGCACCGATTTCGAAAATATTTGATTAGGTATGTATTTAATAGGTAGGCTTTACTTACTTAGCCAAAGCACACCGACTTCGAAAATATTTGATTAGGTATGTATAGTAAATGAAAACTACCAATCAGTAATTTTTTACTTTTTAGTGCTTTTGTTTGAAGTCGGTTTTAATTTTTTTGTTAAAAAGTTTTTATTTTTCCCTTTTTAGTGTAGACAGTAGTAGCATAGTAAGGATTCTAACGTGTTAGACTTGTCAAATCAAACAAAATAAGCCCAAAATCAAAGTATCTACTATTAGCCGTTGAAGAGTTCCACCTATCCACCTTCTGGCCTTGCCATCAGATCAGGTCAACAACACCGAACCACTGTACTATCAACGGAAATAGAAATACTTGCAAAGTTTCAAGTCAATATGACAATTAGAAGTAGGTTAAATTCATCATTTGTTGTTTTTCCACCCTTAGGGGTGGTATTTTTTTATTGAAATTTAAATGGGACCAATCTGGAAGTATACCCTTTCAAACAAAACAAGAATTGTCCAAATCGGTTAATAAATGACGGAGTTCTGAGGTAACAAACATAAAAAAAGAAAAAAAAGAAAAAAAAACATACAGTCGAATTGAGAACCTCCTCCTTTTTGAAGTCGGTTGACAAATCGTTAATTTCAACCCTTCTGTGGAGGTTATAAAATTCGGATACGGTGACCGACTAGAAAATAGTGTGCATGAGCGTGTCGCATTTAGACCGGAACCTGTTACCCGTCCACAGCCCTCGACGGTCGCCACGCTCCATCGCCCATGCGCCTCGCGAGCATGCATATTGCATCGTGCACTCACATCCGTCCTACTTTTATGTATATCCTCTGGTCATATATGTAACGTATGAACTCTGTATCGATTTATCGTCCGTAGCGATAATCGATGTTGTTGTAACTGATTGACTTACTTCAGTTTCGTTTTCAGTGTATATTATTTGTAGAATGAAAATACATTTTAAAGAAACTTTTGTTATTATTTCTTGAGTTAATCCCTCCACGACCGCGGGCACGCCGGCGTGTCAGTTGATATTAGATTTCTTAGAATTTTAATTATTTTCTTAGAAATTCACCTGGAGGTGTTAAAGAAAAGATAATGTACAGATTAAAAGATATAAAAATATATGAGATATAAAGATAGATATCTCCGAGTGAATAAAGAATCTTTTTTTTTTAACGTTGGGAAATGCATTTACGCACGAGATGTGGGACTCACCGGCAAAGCCAGTACTACCCACTAAAACCCTTCCCCCGTCTTAATGGAGCGTCGCAGGATCGCTTACGCATTCAACTACGACGCCCCGACGGCAGGTCTGCCGAAGCAGACCACAACAACCACGGGGTTGCTCCAAGGTCCACTCTGCTATCAGAGAAGTACCAGGAGCAACCCGCATGGTACACCGCCCTCCGAAGAGGGCCACCTCCCACCGCCCACCGAAGTGGGCCACCCTGTGTGTTTCTTGGCTTCGCGCCCGGTTGGGTTGCCGGGCACTACTGAGCCCCCCCACCACGACAAGGTGAACGCACGTTGGGGGGGGGGGAGTGAATATAGAATCTAGCTTAACTTTTGTTGTAAGTTTATTCTGGATTCAACAGAAGTTATATTGGTCATACATAAAGTTTTCTCGTCATATCACTTTGTCCTTCTCGGCCTATATTATAATGACAACGCAATGGTCTTTCAAGTGTGAATGATCCTGAAATATAAAAGAAGGTATATTACAGAGAACGGTTTCAATCTTCTCCAGCTCGACCCCTTTCAAGAAATTGTAAAGCAAGACTCAACGTCGCCCTACACAGCTGCAGAGAAAAAATAGGTGTGTGACTGAGTATGCGTCTAGTACGCGACTATGTACTTAGAGTGCATCGCTCCCGGGCGGGTGTCGTCGCACTGCATATAGGCCAGTGCACGCGGTACCCAGGCCCCTCCCCGCGGTCTACACGCTGCACCTCGCGATTTTCCATTTCCATCGTCCCGCTCGCTAATTCCAGTGCGCCGCGACGCGCTATGTCGTAATGCAGAGAAATCTCACAAACCTTTCTCTGAATGTGTATGTTATCTTCCGCTAGGGATATATAAGTATCGGATACATCGGTCGAGGAAATCGGTGTAATGTAGCTAGCCTTTATGTTATTGCCAGACATAAGTATTGTTTTAAGACAACATACTAAAAACAAATTTAAGTTAAAATTAGTTTATATTGTATTTCATAACTTGATATAAAATGTTATGTCAAACATTTTTATTTTTTAATATTCAGAATTTACTTATGACGACTTATTAAAATGAAATTTAACGAATTAACAGTATATAATAAAAACATACTCGCCTATTTAATAAAAGGGTTAAAATATTAGCTTCAAGGAATATGACTATCAATATATTATACAAAGTAGTGTTAAAAGCTGTATTTTTGTTTAAAAGTTCAAATATCTAAGTTACGGGCGGTGTGTCGAGAACGTCGTACGTACGCAATGCCAGCGAGTAAGTTACGGCGTTATGATGGCGAGTGCACGGATGTAGTTACAAGTTCCCGCGGTCGTTGGCCGCTTGATGCGTGCGAGTCCCCTATATCGAATAAGTGTGGCGCGGAAACCAATTCTCGTTCTCACTGTTAGCGACAAACGTTGCGACCACGATGCGTTACTTTCAGTCTTTTGTTAGGTCGTACCTAAATATATTTAATCGTAGATTGGGACTTTGAAATACGTATTTAAAGGCTATTTCATTGATATATCATTTTTTTGTTGACACTATGCAATTAGTGCTTTAAATTTTATTATGAATGAGTCAAATAAAAATAAGTTATAATAATGCAGAGCGAATGCGTGAACGCGGAAACGGTTAATGCCGTTAGGTAACTGTACAGGTCTAGTCTAGAACAATCCTGTGCGGACCTGGCGATAGGATCGAACGACACGTCCTGAATTGATGAGCATTTTCGTTAGGACACATATAATTAATGAAAACCCCATACTATCTCAAATCTTATTTATTGTTTCAATCATACGATATATTATTCGGATAATGAAAACTTACTTTACTCCAATCATTCAATTAAATTATTATCATTATGAACATAAAATTAAGCTGTTCGAAAGCTTTGTTACGAATAAATCAAAAACTATTTGTAGCTTTGGCATAGGTAAGGGATACCTACTTGAAAACCAGGGTGTAAGGTGAATGACCGTGGTCGTCGCATTGTCGTGCGAGTATCGCCACCAGCACACAAGTGACACTTCACACAAGTTCTGCCCGCTGCATGTAAATTCGTCCTTATGACATCACTTTCCATCGTATTGCTCAATCGTTTATAAAAACATTTACTTAATCATTAATTGAAAAGTGCATTCTTCCGCATTATTTCTTTATAATAATAACATGAAGAAATAAAACCAATAAATAACAATATTTTTAAATCTTATCGGATGAGTAATATAAATAACAATCAAATATTTACTAAATAACAGTCATATATTTTATCTATATACTTTTTTGTATAGTGACGTAAATCGTGTCCTTGAAGCAATTCAATAGAATAAATCTGATAGGGTCACTCACCTTATTAACATGCGCAATACCTAGTAATAGATTGTATAAAGCACGCTACACACATAACCACATAAAAACTCTAATATTGTTTAATATATCGTATTACATAATACAAAAATCGTGTATACAAACGAATACAAGTAATATTTTAATAAGCGTAGGCAACAATAATAATTAATAGGTAGTATGTGGCCTGCCTAGTGCCTAGCAAGAGCATTGCCCTTCCGCATATAGTTATCGTGTTATAATCGAGTTTTAAATTTAGTTTAGTTGTACACTAATCGAAATTCAAACTTCTAACAGAACAATGGAATTGTTAGTAGAAATTTTTATATACTAAGTAGATACTTTGAAATTCATTATATATAAGTCGTTTAGAATATTTTGTGTAATTTTATAGTTACTGATTTAACCGTTTGTAATACGATCATTTTATTTTTGTTCGAACTGTTCTCAATATTCCCTTAGAGCGTCAGTGAAAAATGTCTTCGATTACACGCTCCACAATACTGACTCACGATACGTGTTAACATTCAGTATCTCTTTATTTTATATCAAACAATTTACATATTTATATGTATGTGTGATTTTTAAATTGATACCCATCCGATGTGAATATAATTTTTACAGATAAATCAACTTTCTAATTTAAAGTATATTCACTTAATATGCAGGATAAGTTTAAATTCATAAAGTTCTTTAATATATATAAGAAATCCTTTGTTTAGTATTAGTAACACATTGTGAAGCGCCTGCATTATCAGTGACATACATAGCTTGTTCGATAGCGCAACTCTGATAAGCCGAACAAAACATCGTCTCGGTACATTGACCCAGAATTATATAAAAAAAAGTCCTCAATTTTGATAACGATGTGACAATGACATTTTGTGTTGACCGCGCATTACTCAATGGAAATTTTATGATTTTGTCATATACTTCAATTTTTTGGAGACAATTTTTGTTAAATAATAATGCATATTTTCATTATTTCAACTTATACTTTCTATACGTAATCACGTATAAAGTCAATGTAAGTGATTGAGGTGCAACACGTGGATGTCTGAAACTGGACGGAACCCAGTGGCCGTGTGCTCAAGCACGAGCCGGCGTACTTGTAGAGCGGATACATGTCAACTTTCTCGTAGTTACGTAACGCGGCTCGCGGAGAGATGTACTAGAACGTTCGGTGTCATCGACCACGGAACTGCTTACGACACTCGCTCGCTTGCATTCAGATGGTATTTCGAGAATGTAAAATTTTTGTTGTATTATTATTCCAAATTTGGTATTTAGTTTGTGAATCACGTTTGTAAAAAGTTGTTTAATTATTTCACAAACTATTATTTATTTTAAAAACTAATCGTAATGATTCCTGTATATGAGAAGCAGAGTATTATAGAAAGACTAGCATTGCCCGCGGCTCCAGATGACCAAAAATCAAATTCTTAGGTTTTACATATTAGTATACTTAAATTGCCGTTTTGTATATTTTTTCAGAAATGAGGCATTTTGCCCTGGTAAAAAGTATCCTATATGTTGGCCCGGATAACCAGCTATCACAATACCAAGTTTCATCAAAATCCCTTCAGTGGTATTTCCGTGATGCGGTAACAGACAGACAGACAGACAGACAGACAGACAGACAGACAGACAAAAATTCTAAAAACTATAGATTCGGCTTCTGTATCAATAATAATGTCTATTTCAATAAGATTTTCCAAAAAATATATAATGTACAGATTCGGCTTAGTTACCATTTTATTATATATATAGAAGAAAAAATAATATTTTTAATAATGGAATATTGCAGACTAGAATAAATTAAAATAAATGGTAGGTACGCAACTAAAATAAATATATTTACATACATACATACATAATACATATACATGCCTAAGTGTACTCCTACACTTCAGAAACCAAATTTAAATTATTACGTCTTTACTTTCACGTTTCTTTTACTACTCCGGGTCACTTTATTTAAAAAAATACGCTTTTTACTTATAGATACATTGGTACAATATATTATGTCAATATAAAATAATATACTTATTATCTAGTCCTCCCTATACACAACTTGACAATAATTATTAAGGCAAACAACAAGTACTTATATGTATAGTATTTCTAAAAACTAAGTTTCAAACTCAAGGCAGACAGGATAATTTTCGTTGTATCTGTTAAAAATGTGTCTAAAATTAGAAGGAAAAGCTGAATCTTGTACAAGGTACAAAATATTAATTACCACAAAAATTCAATTTGTTTTCATTAGTGGTCCAAAATGCAGACGTTATATCGTTTATTTAAATGAATTCTCAAAACCATTTTTTTTAATAATCAGATTGCTGTATCAATTTACAGCTTCAAGATTGATTTTCGTATGAAGATATACGTACGTATAACATATTCTTTGTTACTAATTCTGTGATATCTATACTAATATGTATTATAAATGTGAAAGTGTGTTTGTTTGTTTGTTTGTTTGTTTGTCTTTCTTTCACATCGAAACGGAGTGGCGGATTGACGTGATTGATGTTTTTGTGTGGACATACTCGTAGTTGGAGGGCTGGAGAGTGACATAAGCTTCTTTTTATCGCGGGAGATAATCTTATTCTGATCAGAATTACTTGAAACTTGATATTAATAATGCTCTTCAATACAATTAAATAAACACGTGTTGTAGCCTTTTCGAAATTCATCCCATACGAGGGTAAAATAGGGGATGAAAGTTTATATGAAACCTACTTTTTTAGAGTTTTTCTGTAGTTTTAGCGCGAGCGAAGCCGCGGATTCTGCTAGTGTATGATAAAACAGTGTATATATAAACATATAATTTCAGGACGAGGAAAATAAGAACACAGTAAACCAATGCAATAAGCTTTATATTATCACTTTTTACTTTATAAGTTTTACAATGTCACTTCAATTTTCGTATTTCCATATAAGATCACAATTAAATGTAGTTTTAACGATCACTTTATATCACTACTATTTAACCAATCACAGGAAAACTATCTTTATACTTTTTACACATAAGTTTACCACTATTTTGATCAATAAGTTTACCAGCACAAATTCAATATTATTTTAACAACGATTACTTATCTTTTCTGGCGTAATGCACGTCTGTCCAAAAACTAACTCTTCCAACGGTTACCTTACGCTTTTTATATCAATCAGCCGGAAGTGAAATTTTAATTATTTTTATAAAATCATCCTAAAAATCAGTTAGTATTCATAATTTATAATTTAATTTTATTAAATTAAACAATAGTATTTCAGAATTTTTAAATGTAATAATATAATTATGAACTTCTTACTATTTGATTTATTTTCAAGCATTTATTTATAAGCATATAATTACAAAATTAGTAACTCGAAAAATATGTTTAATTTTAAGATATTGACTGTTAAATTATTAAATTTAAATATTTCTTTAAAAGTATAATCAATAGATATTCCATATTAATTTGAAGTAGTCAAATATTTCCTGTTAATTTATTAATGACTTTTAATGAAAATATTATTATTCATGATTTCTAATTATGTATATTATTTTATTATGTACAATTTTACTACTCCGTCTAAGCCTAGTCTAACAGTTCGTCCATCCTGACGAATATTTGCGACCTCGCAAATGAGCAAAAGGTTTAATAATTTCAAATTTTCTTTATTATCAGATCTAAACTTAATACTGGTATTCCAAAATAATTTTTTTTTTGATTCAAAAATAAATTTCATTTTGCATTAAATTATTATTATTATTTTTTTTTTTTACTGAACGTCATGAGTCTACTACCAGTTCGGAAGGAAGAAGCCTCAGACCTGAGAAGAACTGGCGAAAGAAACTCAGCGGGACTAATATTATTTCATTATTATTATTACTAATACTAAAAGTACTCAAAGTAACCAATAAAAGTAACAAATAAAAGATCCGTGACTCAACAATATCAGAAATATTAGTAGCAACTTCATCATCTAAGCTATTAATGGACTATCAACACCAAAACTATTAGTGGCCCATCAACACCTAAAACTGTTGATGGCCCAACAACACCTGAACTATTGGTGGCCCACCAGCACCAAAACTATTGGTGGCCCAACAACACCAAAACTATTGGTGGCCCAACAACACCAAAACTATTGGTGGCCCAACAACACCAAAACTATTGGTGGCCCAACAACACCAAAACTATTGGTGGCCCAACAACACCAAAACTATTGGTGGCCCAACAACACCAAAACTATTGGTGGCCCAACAACACCAAAACTATTGGTGGCCCTTCAGCACCCAACACTATTAGTCGTCCATCAACACCAAAGCTATTGGTGGCCCAACAACACCAAAACTATTGGTGGCCCGTCAACACCAAAACTATTGGTGGCCCGTCAACACCAAAACTATTGGTGGCCCGTCAACACCAAAACTATTGGTGGCCCGTCAACACCAAAACTATTGGTGGCCCGTCAACACCAAAACTATTGGTGGCCCGTCAACACCAAAACTATTGGTGGCCCGTCAACACCAAAACTATTGGTGGCCCGTCAACACCAAAACTATTGGTGGCCCGTCAACACCAAAACTATTGGTGGCCCGTCAACACCAAAACTATTGGTGGCCCGTCAACACCAAAACTATTGGTGGCCCGTCAACACCAAAACTATTGGTGGCCCGTCAACACCAAAACTATTGGTGGCCCGTCAACACCAAAACTATTGGTGGCCCGTCAACACCAAAACTATTGGTGGCCCGTCAACACCAAAACTATTGGTGGCCCGTCAACACCAAAACTATTGGTGGCCCGTCAACACCAAAACTATTGGTGGCCCGTGAATTTCTATATACTACTTGTTCATTATATAATATATTATAAAGTATGTATATAGCTCCATTATCACTCTAAAAGGTCACCAAGTTCCTCGGTGCTATTAACGCTTGAATTACTTGAACCTGTGTCACTGTCTGCTTCATTGATAAATTTCCGTAGAACATCCGTCTAACTCACAGCACCATCTAGTTCCATGGTAAGCTGCGAGGCCCGTGCTATGGATACCCGACGGTTGATACACCACACATAGATAACTGAAAATACATAAACATTTTAAATATAAACATCCATGACTGGAGCACAGACATTCGCGCCCCCCCCCCCCACACAAATGAATGCCCCCAGCGGGACTCGAACCCGCGACCGCCGATACAGCAAGTAGGGTCACCACAAACTAAGCCGAAAGTGTCGCCGTTGAAACCGACGCATTATAAACTGTGTATCTATCATTTTCTCGACATTTTATAGGGTCCACTAAACTTTTCTTTAAGCTCTCTTCTTACATCACATGAGCTGACTACAGACTTCTGGCAAAGTACTATGTTACCAATTTTATACTGAGTTGGAAAACTGTGTTTACTCCCCTTCCTTGTAATAAACCACATTTAGATTTAATCATCAATTGATATGCGCAATATCCCGCCAAAATAAAAACATCGGACAATATAATAAGAGACTAGTCATATTTGCACCTGAAAACAAATATTATTACATCCGTAACTACCATAGACTCGTACCGTTACACATAACACAGGTACACACCCGCACATACATGTAAACACATTATGTTTAATGTGCACATCATTAGTATGACCAATTTAATTGATTCAGATTTTTTTTCTTTTTCCTTTTTCAATATATGAGTACTCTGTTGTCTAATACATATACTATTACGAGATATCTAATAGAGTAATCTAATTTTGGCCATATTTATTAATAACTTTGTGCTCTAACTGTATTTCAACAATTTTGTAACGCTGTAGGATTACCAAGAAATAAATAAATAGCAAGTTCCAACGCAAGCGACACAAGAAATGGACATGGAGATAGCCAACGTCCATATTACGTTGAATACACCGGGTCTCGTTATAAAATTTTTGATATAATAATTATCTGAAGTTTAATATGCGATGCAATCTATCCTTACACATAACGACTATTTTAAAAGAGAGCTCTAAATACTGGGAATAATAAACTTCCAAAACAATACGTACATCTGTTAAAAAGATTTCTTGAGCCAATTCAAATTCATCTTAATCATTCAAATCAGCCAAAAATAGAAATGTAATATAACAAAAGAACTTTTAGAGCAAAGAAAAGAGCTACATATGTAAAGAGAAAAGGAACGAAAGAAATAAAGTCTAAAGAAACAGAAATAAGTAAAAACATTAATCGTAATGTTACTCAACAGAAAAATAACAAGACAAAAAACTTTCAAAAATTTATATGTAGTTATAGTGAAGTGAAGTGTTAAGTGATTATGTACAGAGTGACAATTTTGATTTCAACGACTTTTCTTTATTTGTACCAACACTTTCCGTATAACGCTCACGGTATACCGTGGTCATAATAAAATAATGAAAAATCAAGCTGCTTCGATTTACAAAATTTTCTCAAAAATCATGTTGAACAGGATGAAAATTATATTAAATCGAAACCACCCTCGTGAATAAGCGAGCTTTTGTAAAAGGTTCTCGAATATAGATCATATATAAGTTGTAACACAAATAATAGAAAAGTAAACGAATCCCTACAGGAAAGTTGTATCTTGAAATGTACACGTTTATTTTTGTTTTTTTTTTATACTTTTTTTTTAACATTTGGCTCACTATATTTAAAAATTACAGAATTATTACAATAAAGCGTACATCCGAAATATATAATAATATGCCATGCGAAAGGTACGATTAGATCGTGATGGAACGGATTTCACCATTCAAAAGGAGTGAGACAAGGAAACCTACTTTCTCCCAAAAACTTTTCAGCTATGCTAGAATCTGTTTATAATGCCTGAATTGCGAAATGAAGGGAATAAAAGTAGGCGACGGACTATTGAATCACCTACGGTTTACAGACGATATTGTGGTATTTGCAGATTAATATATTATTTATAAGCTATTAACTATAAACCAATACACATCCCACAACGAAAAAATAGATACGGTTCTAATTCACCACTCTTACGAAGCTTTAAATTATATAATTTTATATTTCAGCAATGTGATATAGATATTTTTTTTGATACTTTAAATTTATTCAAAAAGAAAGTGTATTTAAATATTTAGATTAGTTTTTTTTTCTTCTTTTGTTTATTGTACACATAAAATTTTAATGGAATAATTCTATAAAAAGATGTGCATACTTTTAAATTAAATTTATATACAAATAGGTAAAATTATAATGCTGAATAAATGTTTTTATGTAAATTTAGTTAGTAAGCCTTTATAATAAATAAATAAAATAAATAAATAACTCGAAATTATAGTAACTAACTAGAAATAGAGAGTCAAAAGTAGAATTATTATTCAATACATGTAAAGCTCTTTTTTTTTAAGAGCGCTGCAAGATAAAAAGTACAAAAATTAGAATACGTATATGAATGCGTATATCTAGGACAACTAGTATCATTCGAAAATACAAAAAGAGCACTAACGTACGAATTAAGACAAAGATATACGTTACAACAATGCTACCGCGCCTTGAGAAGAAAATCACTATCTGTCAACGCGAAATGGAGCGTAGCATGCATTGCTTTACATTATCAGATAGAACCTGCAGCAATAATTCATTAACACTGTCGAGAACGTTCAGAATAAATTTCTTAGGAGGTTATATTTCAAATTTAAATCTATTGAGGGTAATAACCTAAACATCAAGATCAAATTTTTCTTTGCATAATTATCAACAATCATATCGATTGTTATCTGTTGTCTAATATTTTCTTTAAATGCCTTCGAATTAATAAACGATCAAAAGATATGTCTTGTCTGTTCCCTTTCTTAGACCAAATATGCCAAAACTAGAGTCTGTAAAATTTATATTAATTACTAGCAGAACCCTCTGCTTCGCTCGTGGTAAAACTACAAAAAAATCTCTAAAAAGGCAGATTTCATACAAATCTTCATGCCAAATTTTACCCCCTTATGGGATGAATTTTGAAAAATGCTAAAATACGTTTTTTTTTTAATTGTATTGAAGAGCATTAATACCAAGTTTCAAGTAATTCCGATCACAATTATTTCTTGGGTTGTATTATAACGTGTTTTTCTTTAGGAATGAGACAATCTCTCGCGGCAAAAGAGCGTATGTTACTCTTCAGCCCTCGAACTGTCTCCATAGAAAAATTACACCAATTCGTCATTCCGTTTCGACTTGAAAAAAGGACAAAGAAACAAACACACTTTCACATTTATAATATTAGTATGGATTACAAACAACAAATATTTCGTTTGCATATACTGAATATAAACAAATTTATAAGCAAACTTGAAAAGACACTAGCAAAAGATTATTTCTATATTTTTCTTTTTATTTTGTAACTACACATTTTATTTATCTCTGTTTTGGTTTAACAGGTAATAAGTCTACTCAGCTATATTTATGTAAAAGTGGAAACATTATTGGCCAGGTGTATTAATTTTGTTGTATTTTGCATTTGATGTTTGTATACGCTGTTTGTTTTCCAATTTTACATAACAAATAAATAAGCAAAAAAAAAGTTTTGGGGCACTTAGGAGACAAGCTCAAAAACGTATAACTAAATCATTTGAAATTTGTATAAAAAGTTTAAGAAGGAGGAAAAATACCATTCCGCCTAATCGAGATTGCATGTTGGTAGCTTTTAGTAGCGTTCACCAGACTAGTTATGTATTATGGCAATAAGTATGATTCCTGGTTTTAATACCACTTGGTCAAAGTAATATGGTTGGATCTTACCAGCATTTAGGTCATAGACGATGCAAGCGTTGATACGGCCTCTGGGGTAGTCAAAGAACCAGCTATAGGCCTGGCCAGGATGGGTACTTCCGAGTGCTGGGAGTGCCAGGACTGACATCGTTTTTCTAGCGGACTCCGAGACGGGATACCGGTGACGTTCCGGTATCCCACTTCTGAAAATTGATAAAACAGTGTATATATAAACATATAATTTCAGGACGAGGAAAATAAGAACACAGTAAACCAATGCAATAAGCTTTATATTATCACTTTTTACTTTATAAGTTTTACAATGTCACTTCAATTTTCGTATTTCCATATAAGATCACAATTAAATGTAGTTTTAACGATCACTTTATATCACTACTATTTAACCAATCACAGGAAAACTATCTTTATACTTTTTACACATAAGTTTACCACTATTTTGATCAATAAGTTTACCAGCACAAATTCAATATTATTTTAACAACGATTACTTATCTTTTCTGGCGTAATGCACGTCTGTCCAAAAACTAACTCTTCCAACGGTTACCTTACGCTTTTTATATCAATCAGCCGGAAGTGAAATTTTAATTATTTTTATAAAATCATCCTAAAAATCAGTTAGTATTCATAATTTATAATTTAATTTTATTAAATTAAACAATAGTATTTCAGAATTTTTAAATGTAATAATATAATTATGAACTTCTTACTATTTGATTTATTTTCAAGCATTTATTTATAAGCATATAATTACAAAATTAGTAACTCGAAAAATATGTTTAATTTTAAGATATTGACTGTTAAATTATTAAATTTAAATATTTCTTTAAAAGTATAATCAATAGATATTCCATATTAATTTGAAGTAGTCAAATATTTCCTGTTAATTTATTAATGACTTTTAATGAAAATATTATTATTCATGATTTCTAATTATGTATATTATTTTATTATGTACAATTTTACTACTCCGTCTAAGCCTAGTCTAACATGTATTAATAAATCGTTTTTTTTAATATCAGCACAATATACAAGTTTTTATAAATGTGGTGATATTGATATGATAGATTAAGCTTGAGTAGTAGGTATCTGCTTCAGTGAACAGGCGAAGCCATAGGTCATCGCTCGCGCGGAGGTCAACGCCGGAGCGCCACACGTTGTAGCTCACAAGTTATAACTTTTACGACAAGATCTGATTTACGGCAATTGTCGATACCAAGACTTTAGTACAGCTTCCTCATATTGAATTCAAATTGTTTTATACGGTTTATAAATATTACCTTACTGATTATTGTACGTATATTAATTAATTATGAAACTTTTATTCATCTTTCGTTTATAGTAAAACGCATGATAAACGCAATTTAAAAAAATATAATATTACTAGCTTCATCGATTATTCTCGATCAAAGATAAGCGAGACTGCTAGACGTAACCAACGTGAAATTTACGTATAATAAGAAAATGTATACAATTTTATGTGACACGTATAATCATTTCAAATAGACCAGCTTACTTACAATATATATAGACTAGCATTGCCCGCGGCTCCGCCCGCGTTCAGATGACCAAAAACCATATTCTTAGGTTTTATATATTAGTATACTCTTACATTGCAGTTTTTGTATTTTTTCTCAGAAATGAGATATTTTCCCGCGGTAAAAAGTATCCTATATGTTGACCCGGATATCCAGCTATCACCATACCAAATTTCATTAAATACCTCCAGTGGGTTTTTTGTGATGCGGTAACAGACAGACAGACAAAAATTCTAAAACTATAGATTCGGTCTATGTATCAATAATAATATCTATTTCAATAAGATTTTCCAAAAAATCTTTAATGTACAGATTCTGCTTTGTTACAATTTTATTATACGTATAGATTTTTTAGCATTTTGATATTTCCAAGTCAATGTGAGAGAGAGAGTGGGTACAAACAATCGTCAGCTCATGCAGTCATGATTGTATTTAGGTCAATATGAAAACAATGATATTATTTATTTTGGATATGAATTATTTATATATTGAGTTTATTTGACTGTCTTCGTTTACTTTCTTCGATATATGTCATGTAGGTCAGTAAATGAGTAAATATTCCTTTGTATCTCTTTTGAACGTTATCAACAAGTATTTGTCTATTGGATGTAAACATACTAATAATAATCGATAATACTAATCGAAATCATAAATGTATAATAGTCATGTTATAAATATCGGTATGGTGTAGTATATGACACACGGTATGTTTATGGTGAGAGTCATTAAGATTAGCGGACAGCTTACAGAAGTATAGAGGCTAAGGTACGCCATGACACATCAGCAATTATAAGTGTGAAGGCGTCATTGAACCCGTGTTATTGCGAAACAACGGAAACCAGTCCAGCGCCCCTTCCCCTCCGTGTCCCTCCTCGAGAGCCTCGGCACTCCTCGCGCAGTCCTCTACACCTGCTGCGAATTTTTAAATCCTAGATTATAGTTGACATGCGGTCAGCTTCAATGTGACGTGATAAGCATGCATAGAGGACCGGTTACATCACCTTCTGCTACAAGCGGCACTATTATAAGCAATTACTATAAAATTATTTTTATTATTTAAGGTTATTTCTGTAAAATTATAAAAATAAGACTATCTTGTACAATTTGTCACACACTTATAATAATTATTAAAAACATTGTGTGAATCACTCATCAATTAATAGACCATGCTCTTAATTACTGACCTACGCTCTCAGATAAGGGTAAAAGATGTTTATTTTTATACAGCATTGTAAATAAATAGCATCTAATTATGTCATCGAATGATTATGCTGTCGTTACATCTAACAACGACGACCTAATAAGTGACGTGGCCGATAGTGGTGTAGTCAGGGACATCGGCCGCGCTGCCTCATTCGCAGGAATCGCAGGTAGGCTAAGGGGTTAAAGAACTCCAGTGCACTATATCAAATATCATTGAACTCGCGCCGTCCTGCTCGTGCAATGCACCACCCTGATGCATTGCCTGCACGCCTCATCGTGCGAATCCTGTTCGATTACGCGTTACGCATGCGTATGACATGATCTATACTTATAGGAAGGAGCATATCTATGATACGTATGCACTACGTTTAACCGCTCATTCAATCGTCAGATCGCATCAAATATCAAGTTATTTTTTTACAAATAAACACTAAATACATTAAAATATTTACCTACTTGCGGTTCACCCACTTCGACTCTAGAAAAACAAAAACAAATCTATCCCACAGGAACCGTATATTTTCTGGGATTAAAAGTATCCTATGTGTTATTCTGGTGTATGAGCTATATTATTGTTAAGTTTCATTAAAATCCATTCAGTAGCTTTTGCGTGAAAGAGCAACAAACATCCATACATCTACATATAGGTACATACATCCTCACAAAGTTTCGCCTTTATAATATTAGTAGGATCAATATTTCTGTACCTTTAACCAATTTTGATTATTTACTCTTATCTATTCAGAAGCCGACGCCAATTTATATATACAAGTACATATATATTTTATGTCCTACAAATACTGACTATAAAAGGGAAGCATAATAAGTATAAAACTACAGTGCACACACGGTGGTGAGAAAACCTAATAATATGTTTATGCACCTGTTACGTAACGGTGTGTACCTTGATTAGATGCATCATGCAAGGAGCAACCATATGTCAATAATCAAGTGTAACGAATGGAAAGTTCAAAGAGGGCATCGACATGGACTTGGCCTGCCTGCCAGTCAGGCGGCGGTCTTTACCGTGCATTCGCTAGAAAATCGAACTAATTCGCTCTATACACGTCATTGGAGCTAGAAGACGTTATCGAGGCAATCAGAAAGAGTTCTCTAGGGATAATGTTGCAAAAAAAATTTATTACTATGTCTTCAAATAAATCTACAGATTTCATAATTACTTTAACAGAAAAGTTTTTTTATTTTATTATTGGTTATTTACCTTATGCCTAATTTTAAAGCTTAGACTTAGCTGAACGTAATATTCTAAAATATATGATGAAACTTATATACCTTCTAAGCCATCTTTACATTGCTTCGTATAAAATACGAGAATTAATACGTGACAGACAAAAGCGATATGTTCAAGGTAAAACGATAAAATGTTATTGAACTTGATAAAGAGAAATTTAATTGCACGTAGACATACGTATTGTTATTATAATACGTTGAAATATTCCATTACGCTATGTTTCTTTAAAACTAGCTATTGTATTCCATAAAATATTATAACCCCTCCACGACCGCGGACACGCCGGCGTGTCAGTTAACAATAGATTTCTTATAATTTTAATTAATTTCTTAGAAATTTACCTGGAGGTGATATTCAATAATAATTATAATCGATTGAAAGAAAAATCGTTATAATCATAAAGTCGATAGAGCGAATCGTGCGCCCCGGTGACCGGACTCGGGCGCGCTATTTCCCCAAATTGCGTGGTTTCAATTCCCACAGACCTAAAAGCTGGCTAAGGAATGGGAACTACAGTCTCACCTAGTTACCCTTGTTGATTACCACTACAGTTTGTTGACTATCTAAACTGCGTAAAAAATAATTTATATTAAAAGATATTATATAAATATTGTCAACATGTTATTTATACTGTATTATCTAATGTTATAAATCTAAAATCTATATCTTCCAGTGAGAATTGAACAATTTTTCTTACATTTTATAATCTACTTATTGAGGAAGGTTATTTAAATTGATATTTAACCCTCACGAGCGGAAAAAGTTACGCTAGTGGAGCCGCGTGCAAAAATGTAAATATTTTTTTATTTTATAACTATGTGTCATATTATGTATGTAAATTAAAGAAACATCAATAAATTAAAAGATATATTGTCAACATGTTATTTATACTAAGTATGTTATATAATATTATAAATGTGAAGTTTAGTTTCTACTTGTTTGAAGGCACTTGCTTATCTCTATATCTTCCAGTCAGATTTGAACAATTCTTCTTGCATTTTATAGCCTACTTATCGAGGAAAGTTATTTGATCGATATTTAACTCTTAGAAGCGAAAAAAAATTACAAATTTTTTGGTAATTTAAGGCTTTAAAAACCTGTTATTTTATTTCCAGTTCAATACTAGACTTTTCTATTTATGTTTAACAAACATAACGTTCATATTACCTAACCTACCTGGAAACGTAAAATTAAACGCTCTATTGTGACAAACATTGTACCTAATGTTTTAACAATAATGCTTTGGATGTGTTAATGAACTTCCAGTGGAATTACTAATTCCCACGATTTAATTATTTTTTATTAAATAAATCAAATCAAAATATAAGTGCTTTATTCAAATAGACTTTTACAAGCACTTTTGAATCGTCAATTTTACATTTTAAATTTAAATTAAATGTCAATGTAGTCAGTCCGTGTGGAATCTACCACCGGCTCGGAAGGCAGTTCTGCTGAGAAAAGCCGGCGAGAAACTCAACAGTTGCTCTTTTAATATAATAGATTTTAAAATATCACGAAATAGGATATCTCTGATCAAATAACAAGTATCTACTTTGTACTTTTTAATTTGCCGTTCATACTTTTTAGGTCGTTGGTAGTTGCAAGACTTGCTAAAAACATAATAGCAACAACCAAGAGTGTGATCGCTTTTGCCGCGTGTGCATGTGTTTAGTTATCAACTTCGTCGATACTTGTTTACCGCGCTGTGCGCAGACCTTGAGATTCGGCAGCGGTCACTGGCCCTAGCCTTCACGCCGACATTATACATTTTTTATCAACCGCCCAGCTATTTGCTCTGCTAAACTCCATTTAGACATTTTGCTAATCTATTTATGTTTTCACGTATTAGATTTGAGGTAACTTTGATATTATTTCTTTGTTGATTCATATAACAAGGAATTTAATTATTTCATCATTACTTTTTCCGTTCTACTAACTTAACTAGGTCAGCTTAAAAAAACGGATATAAATAAATATTATTTGCGTGTAATACGAAGTACTTTTCTATAGTTTATTAATTTTTAAGCAATACTTTATGTTGTTTATTTACCGCGTTAAATGTCGCTAATATTCAATTTAATTTTGTTAGTTAATACTAGTGTTTGCCGATTTGTGTAGTTTCAAGGACGACCAGCCCAAGTTCAGTAGCCACCTTCAACTGTGAATGACACCATTTCGTGCGTTGACCCTATACATTTCCTGTGCGGCAAATAAGACCGAGTTGATTTTATGTTATCGTGACCACGTTTAGTAATATTCAACTATAACTTAGAAACAATGAACATACGTAGACATGAGCTGTATCGTATCGCATATTAATATCATTCCTACTTTTAACAGTTTTAAAATTATATAACTTTTTAATTTTACTGTTCTCATTATAATACATACCTATAAAAATATTAATTTGATACAGGTAAGTTCATGAGCTATCATCGCAGTTCTCCTACATTATCGGTAAGATTGGGTGCTAGTTATGTTTGCACGCAATGCGTTCTCGTTAGAGCACAATGCACCAGGCAGCCGACTGCAGTGGTGAAGTCAGTCACCCCGTCCTAACGGCGCTCGCCCTATAGCCGCTTGACTCGCGAACAGCCACTGCCGTCATCGCACCGCAATTGTCGTGCAATCGCTTACTAATGCAACTGCAACTGTACTCCTAATGCATACTTAATATCTTCACACCGATAAATCCTCGCGCCTCCCGTCCCAAAAACCTATTCTTTAGCCACAAATCACCTAAATAATAAAATCATTCTTTAGCCACAAATCACCCAAATAATAAAATCATTATACGTTGAAAAGCGTTAATGATGTCCGAATGTCCTGCTGTGTCCTTCACTAAAATCACTACAAAAATGGTCACGGTTACGGTCATTGTTAAATTGCAGTGTGTAATAACAATTGAACAATTGTTAAGCAATAGAACATTTACGTTACAATTTTAAGATTTTTTTGCTGCTTCTATAGAAATTCTGAAAAAAAATAAAAAATATTAAAATGAAACTAAAAAATATTGCTTACTTAAATAACGTATTTATCAAAATCATGTGTTGCGATAAAATAGATTTTTATCATACATATGTGACAATACGATGTTGTGAATATATTGCAAAATATCCCGCTGGTATTTTGTCATTAATACTCATATTTAAAAGATAACCGTCTTTTGCTAAACTATAAGATAAAAATACAATGCATGCGCTGTGCTATCTGGGAATGTCAGTGAATTTCCCGAACAAAAGGAATTTAAAAAAAGTAATCTTTAAAAAAAACAATCTTCGGTTTTTGTACAATAAAAAGGGTTTTAATCGAACTTATATTTTTTTATGTTCAGACGAGACTTCTATTTCGCGCATGTCATACAAAGGTCCTATGGCAAAAACTTGGATGTTACCTGTTTGTGAAATCTGAGTAGAAAAGAAAGGGTACTCTGAATTTTATTTCATTTTTTGCAGAAACGTAAAAATTGTATTCTTAAAAATGAAATGAAAAGGAAGTCAACACAAAGGTTAAAAAAATCTTATTCCCTTTGTGCTTATGGCAGATGCGATAAATTTATTCGTTGCTCTATGCCCTAATGATGTTATATGGGTCACAAGAAATAAATACTTATTATTTATATAATTATTCAAAAATCCCTAAAAGCCCTAATGGATTATTTTAAACTAACTTGAGCGCGGGTAAAATGCAAAAGTATTTATACTATAATGGTAACTGTTGCTCTATTCTCTCATGACCAAACATCGATCTATATTCTAGATCTATATACAGGGTCATTTTTAATTTACTGAAAACCTTTTGGGAATACATTATTTACAACATAACAACAACATCTGTAAAAAATAATAATAATATATCTTAAATTTAACAACAATAAAAATATTTTTATTGCACCTTCTCAACAGTAATAGTCCAGCATTAGCAAAAGAAAGTGCGTGTCCGGTGGAGGGGGAGGGGTTGGAGGGGTGTAGGAAGCCGCACTTACTCATTTAAACTTGGCCAGATGCTAGAACTTTAAAGTTTAGAAGGTGCAAAAAAAAATTTTTTATTTTTGTATGAAAATAAAAATTTAAGAAATATTATTTTTTCTTGTTACAGATGTTGTTGTTAGGATGTAAATAGTATATTCCTAAAAGGTTTTCGGTAAACTAAAACTGACCATGTATAAACTATTTTTAAGAATCTGAATTCAATTTATTTAGTGAACGATGGCAAAGTGGTACAGACACGGTGGGAACCGTTACACGCACTCGCGGAGTTGAGTGCACGCGCGAGCGGTCGCCGACACCACTATAGTTATTACTGTCCCCTCTCCTCATCAAAGAAAATTCTTTATTTCTGTGTTACATAACACAACAACTGTTGTTAAATAACTTTTCCTCAATATATGATTATAGGGTTTAGATGGCCCGGTGCCTGCTGTTTTTACCACTTATGACGTGGCATACGAAAACATGTGCGAATATTCCCACACGCGTTCCAAAGAACTTCCACGCCCAGTTCAAGTTTCACCGCCAGTAGGAAAACGAGACTTTACCCACAAAAGTCACTACTCGCTATCCAAGACAGGAATAATTACCGATTGTCAAAAAATCGAAACCATCCGATTATACCTATCGCTTCACTTACTGAACTTCTCGCCGTATGTTCTACCAACTGTCTTTAATTATATAAATTATTCGAGGTTGAACGACTGCTTTATTGTTAAACATTTTTTATCGCTGAGTGTTTCATGATTACGATTATATACTTTCCACCCCTCTCTTAAAGACGGTTTTAGATCAAAAAAAACTTTATTAGAACTTTTTAGTCTATATACAAGTAACGTTAATCTGATCCTACGCAAAATATTGTTATAAAACAAACTACAGTTTTAATCGAATTAAACTGTATAAAGTATTACAGTGACGATTAAAGACAGTTTTTTAAATAACATCGTAGGAAGAATCTATGCGTCAATATTATTATGAATACTTAATATTATTATTGCTATTCAAAAGATTACGCGTACCATCAGCGCGGGGGCGCCACGCGGTAAAAAAGTGATTGAAACCAGTCTGTGATGAAATGAAAGTCGCTTATAGGTAATACATATTACTTTCTCTCGTTGGCTTGCACTTAAATTTAATGTAAAACTAATTTTGTTAGCAAAAGTAAAAATAACTTGCTTCATCCTAATTTGGACTTAGTGTCACATTTTAGTTATATACTTATTAAAATTAGATGTTCTAACTTATATTTATTACTAGCGACTCACCCTTGCTCGGGTTCGTCCAGCTTTTTTTGGTTTTACTTTTTAGTTCTGTTCATCATTAAAGCGTGTTTTTTAGGGTTTCGTACCTCAAAAGGTAAAAAAGGAACCCTTATAAGATTACTCTCTTGTCTGTCCGTCCGTGTGTCACCACCGATTTTCTCTAGAACGGGTGGACCTAGCAAGTTGAAATTTATACCAGATACTGAGTCCTATAGTCAATATTAGGTGTATAAAAATCAAACTCCTGAGTCAACACGATAAAAAAATATGGGCAAATTTAGATTTTCGCGAAAACTTGTATCAAAATGTAACTTAATTTTCAATTTATTTTTATTTTGGAAAGACCTTGCTTTTAACCAAAATTAACAATTCTAGGTCAACTGGAAGTATCCTATAGGTTTTGGGTCGAAAACCTATATGGTAGTTCCTGTTGACCTAGAATCAAGAAATTTGGCAAAAAGCAAGGTCTTACAGCACAAATAAAGGAAAAACTCAAAAATAAAAAAAAGTTGAAAATTAAAGTAAAACAAACAGATTTCCTACAAAATTGTACGGAACCCTCGGTGCACGAGTCCGACTCGCACTTGTCCGGAATTTTTAGTTTTTTAAACTATAATTTATTTATTTATGAGCCGATTGAAATAAAACAAATACTAAGTAAATGTTAAGTGAAGCTTACCACAATACATTAGTGAAAACCGCACCCAAATCGGTGAGCTGTTTCTGAGATTAGCTCCTATAAACGCACAGACAAATAGACAAACCGGCAAAAAAGAATAAAAAGTCTAAAAATCATTGTTTTTGGTTCTATTGCGTTAACAAAGACCTCCAATAATAGTTTTTCTCAAATATCTTACATGTACAGACAGCGATCAGATACAATTTCATTATATGTAGGTATGTATAAGCGACATTAGGATGTGATAAAAATTTGAAATACTCAAAATATTCAAATTGTTTCACGTCGATAACAAAGTTCCAAAAAAGTATTATAGAGTATAAGTATAATATAAAGTTTGTATTCATGACATCAATATAAACCTTAAAAAAATAACTATGTGGTGTGAGTCCTTTGGATTGAAATTAAATCCCTTAAAAACACAAACAATAATTATAGGCAGTCCCTAGCTCATAGCCAAGATTAATTTTGACACTCTACCACATGTCGTTTTAAACGGTGTTATTATACCTTACAGTAAAACTATAAAGAATTTAGGTATAACCATTGATCAACATATGTCTTGGAGGTATTGAGTTATGCACAGGTAAGTGAGGTAAGTAGAAAGATGTTTGCGTCGATATCATCTCTTCAGAGACTGCGTAACTTTCTTCCAATTTCCACCAAATTTCGTTACCACAATCACTCCTCTTACCAATTCTTGATTATGCTGATATCAGTTACCTTGATATTAAAGAGGAGCAATTAAATAAACTTGAGCGGCTTCAAAATCTCTGTATCCGGTTTATATTTGGCTTACGTAAATATGACCATGTTTCTCTTTTTCGCAAGAAGCTCAAGTGGCTCCCTATCCGCCTTCGCAGGAATACTCACATTCTTCATCTTCTGTACTGTATTCTGTTCGATCCCTGTACCACACCCTACCTAAAGGAGCGTTTCCAATTTCTTGGCAATTTACATTCTCGCTGTCTTCGCTCTGATATTAACCCTATCCTTAAAATCCCTTCTAACTCCTCTTCTTTCTATAGCAATTCATTCACTGTAACAGCCCCACGTCTTTGGAACTCTTTTCCCCTTAATATCAGACGTGCGAAGTCACTAACGATATTTAAAAAACTACTAAAAGAATACTTTCTCAGTTTTTGACTTTACTTACACTATACGAGTATTATTATTGTTATTTTTTAACTTATCTTTCTTTGTAAGCTGTCTTGTCTTGCTTTTTGTTTTGTTTTTTAATTTTTTTATTATATTTTATTAAATATAATATATATGTATATATATAGGTATGTGTATCTGTGTAAGTATATGTATATGTATCTATTAGTATAAACATATATACTTATGCATTTTTCTAGTCAACTTTTTTTATATATTGTGATATATTTACTCTATTATTTACACCCCTTCCCTCTTGCAGTTTGCTATCTCCTACACCTAAAGGTTGCCTGGAAGAGATCGCTGTTTTAGCGATAATAATAATAATAATAAATATGTCAGGACATTAACACACAATGCCATCTAGTTCCATGGTAAGCTACGAGGCTTGTGCTATGGATACCAGATAGTTGATACATTATACATATATAACTTTAAATACATACATATTATAAATATAAA